CCCCCCCCCTAAATCCGTCCCTGAATGTCAATAAAAAGAGAAAATGAGAGACCCGAAGGAATGAGAAAATGAATGACCTGTATCATTGGACAAGTAGAGAAATGAATTGATTGACTTCTATCTTACTGTCCATTAAAATGTTACAAGCTTTGCGTGGTATATGGTGACTGGGGAAGACATTAAAAATTATTTGAATGTTTATCAAGCTAATATCTCTGTTGAGCATGGATAGTGATAGTGTCTTGACCCATCTCGAGAGTGGTCAAGATGAAGTGGGAAAGTAAGAAGGAAAAATGCATAATTTGATCAAGATTCATGATTAAGAATTCATTCAATGACTTCTACCTTACACTGGACTATTTACTTTACAAGTAAAGATTAATTTCGCATTGATTATAAAGCTAGCATTACCATCATTTATTTCTATATTTTTTACTTTATAGAGCAGTAAGATTAGCATAACTAGATAACTTTTTCTCGACATTTTTGTCGATGATGGGAAATGGGAAATGACAGGAAATCAGGGGTGAATGGAAGGGTTTTCGGTGTAGGGACGGGTTGAAGAAGATGACAGTAAAGATAAGATGAAGGGCAAGAGTAAGAATAGAGTTTGATTAATTTGGCTTAATTTGACAAGTTAAGGGGTGTGGTGGGCAAAAATTGTCTTGTTGGCCCAAGAGGCTCAAAGCGCGTAACTAGGCTTGTAACTTGCTAAATGAACGCATTGTCACTTCTAGCATAACTCGTAAACCATCAAAATAAATAAAATTCCTTCGAATCCATACGTAATGGGTCAACTCCAATCCATCAAGACTTCGTCATATGAGGTTTTGATCGATTTGAAGTATAAGATCTTGAAGTTAATCCTCTCTTAATCTTTCCTTCGAATCCACGATACGAATAAACAGAGCCGGTCAACTCGTATTTTAATAGAGGACTTACTAAGTTCAAGATATTGCTTAGATTGCCTACAGGCTACAGATGGTCATATCATCCCAATGAAACATATCTAATAACATCTGTATCCCCGACTGCTCGTGGATCTTGAAGAATTGTCACTACAGTCATTTAAAGAATTACTACCTTCTTCCAATAAATATATCCAAGTCTTCTAAGGTGAGTTGCGATCAAACACACTATGTCAACACATATTCTATCTTATATTTCATTTTCTCTCTTTCGAAAGCTATTGCTAACTTGAGTGTTGAGGGTCAATATTAAATACCACGTTAGTGTTTTCCTAAGAATCTTTAACAGTTGTTTCTTTCGAAGTTTCATAATATTATTGGCTACCCATCGTTCGGCTCTTCTCAATTGTAGGAACCTACCATCTATAATTTGGTGCTCATAGTTGGGCACTAGAAATGATTCCGATGAACAGAATTCTCCCTTCCCAGCTCTATCACACTCTCTTTTCCATTTTTACTACCTCCATGTCTAGAACCTCCAAACTCCACCCATACAATATAGCAACCCCCAATTGGTATTTCAATGAAATGAATCCATCAAGAGGTTGGGACAATTACCCGACGATGGTTTGGCTCTGCACGAACGAGGCCTTATCGTGCAACTATGGTTAATCGACATTATCAAGCACAATCCTTGAGTGATCATTCTCTCCAATTATTGACCATCCTCATCCTCATCCATTAACTGCTGCTCCTTTAATCACCACTCGTAGTCACCATTTCCTCGCCTTTCATTCACTATTTTCCCTCTAGCTACTGCTAATACAAGACCACATCAATCTTTCAACCCCTCTTTACAAAACTAAAACACATAAAACACGTTGTGCGCACACATATCTTTTTCTCTTCTGGTCATTTTATGGACCTTGTAGAAAGTGAACTTTGAAATGATTGATCGTACTTTAGATTTTGTGGAGATTGGTGATATTAACTACTATAACATTTTAGTCAACGTATCCAATATTGATACGATAGATTGTGTTTAACGAGAGGGCTGCAGTGGTAATGTAATACAATTATAGAAATCATGTACGACTTTTTAAGAAATAGCAAAGTTCTTGGTAAAAGATGAAAATATGCCCAATGTTAGATGTTTGTTCTACACAAATTGGCAGCTGTAAACAATTTGGCTATTTTCGGCTCTCCCCAATGTATAATGCTACTACTCAGACAGGGCAAAAAACAGGCCCAAAAATTTCATATCGAGGGCTTTTTTAGCCAGTTTCCCACGTTGTTTGAGTAGCAGGGTTCATCTCCGATTCAACGGTTATCATCTCTCTTTTTCTTCGCACTCAGAAATAGCGAAGAATAGAATCAATTCTCCCTGATTTTCGTCTTAAAATCGTTGCAAATATTCAATTGTTATTTACCCATTTCAAACTCCGTCAATAGTTATTTCTCTCTGGTTAAATTCATTTTCCCGGGAATAATTAATGGGGACTCCTACATAGGGATGGCAACAGTTCGGTTCGGGGTTGGTTCGGCCAAAATCATAATCGCACCACCAGATTTTTGGCCATACCATAACCGCACCATAACTATGTAAGTCGGTTCGGTTCCGTTAATAACCACGTAAATGAATTATTTTTTATAAGTCCAAACTCCAAACGTCAAATTGAGAAAAAAATTATGAAAAAAAGCCAATAAAAATCACGGTAATTTTAGGGAAACCGTGCGGGAAAATGCAGAATCTAATAGAATTAAGTCATAATGAATCTAATTCTTTATTCAAGAAAGCAAAAAGAAAAAGAGCAATATTCAGAAAATTTTAGCATAACCACACAGATTTCATTCGGGTGATATAACAGAATATAGAGGTCACAATGATATCTGCAAATTAACATTTAAATGCTGGAGTTCAATAACTGCAGCTGCAGGCAATATCATAAACAAGATACCACTGCACATAGCTACACGCATAAACAAGATTTAGACGCAATCAAATTATCGATTTAGTAGCCTAAGCAGAAAGCAGAAGATAAATATCCATCCTAGTCACAAACTAAATGCATTCCTGGAAATGAAGTTCACGTGACTTGGCCAATCCCCAAAGGCCAATCCCCAATGATGAAATCACTAATTGATAACAATGGAGAGAAGAATATAAAAGAATTCTTACAACGAGAAAAACCATAGAATTGATCTACAAATAAATTATGATATCGGGAAATCAGTAAATAAATTAAGAAAGCAACGAAGAAACCTTTTGTAATTTCTTTGGCTTTAACTTCAACTCAGGCGATAACTTGTGAGGGCGAAACTGGCTAGGTCGTCCGTCGGCAGTGGATTTGAGTGGAAGATTCAAGAGAAGTGGTCTGGTCTTCTGAAGAGAGTAATTACATGGGTAAGGGTTTTAATTACGTGTAGGCTATATTGACATTGAATTGGGCTACTGGGCTGGGGCCTGAGTTATTGGGTTAAGATTTAGTTAATATTAATTGGGCCAGAATTTTGGGAAGTCTATGAATTTTTCCATTTTAATTACGTGCAGGGTACATTGACATTGAATTGGACTACTGGGCTTGGGTTATTGGGGTAAAGTTTAGTTAATATTAATTGGGCCAGAATTTTGGGAAGCCCAAAAAAAATTTGTCCAATTAATTTTGAGAAATAATAATGGAAAGCCCAATTGTCCTTTTTTTTTAACGGGTAATCGGTTCTGTTCGGTACACCATAGCTAAATACTATACCCGTTCCATTGCACAATCAGTTCGATTTTTTTCGCCCCATTCGGTTCGGTTAACCGCGGTTTTCGATTTTCACAGTTCGAATTGCCATACCTACTCCTGCATTCCCAAATCTCGAGAAACGCTGCAGCTTCGATGTTTGCCGGCAGATCGATTTCTTGCCCTTCACATGCGATTGCTGCCACCTGGTATATTCTTGCAAAATAATTTTTTTTTGGGTTTAATAAGTTGTCCGTGTCATCGAATTTTTTTTAATAATTCGGGATTCGATTGAAGCTGAAATTCTTTAGGTTTCACGTTTTATGATCGGTGCCAGAGAAAAAAAATGATTGAAGCTGGATTTTTTGTCCACTTTATTGTTAATTACGCAATATCTAAGGCCTTTTGCTATGATGGAAGTTACTGAGATTTGACTTTTATCTTACACGGAAGAAAAAAAGTATGTGGGATCTGAGGGGATTTTAAATTGTTAATTAGTCTGCGATAAATGAATGTTCAATTTTTTCTAAGATGGATTGTTATACTTACGTTTTTCAGGCAATTTATATTTAGAGTGGACGGAACTTACTGTGTTTATTGTTTACTAAATAAATTGGAAAGAGGTAAGAAACCGAATATCTTATTGTTGCCAAGCTTGACATGATATAAATCTAGAGCCGTGTTATAGATGAAAAGGCGAGCCTGGTATGAAGGAAATGGGTTCTTCTCCATTAGGAAGAGCGAAGACCATTAAGACTTGGTTCTATCTTGCAATGTCAATCTTTTTAAGAGGACTGGCCTAATTTTTTTTAAGTTGGTCCATGTTTTTATCTTTATTCTACGTGAGATTTTATTCTTTAACACCCTTATAAATTGGTCTATGTTTTTTTCCATCCTTATTCGACGTGGAATTTTATCCCTTAACATGCCCCGCAAGATGGTGGCTCATTTGAGCAAACTAATTTTAAAATTTGTTTGTTCATTTTTGAGTCTTAATCGGATCAAATCGTTTGCTGGAACTCGATGGACTCTAATAGCATATTAAGACTTGGGTTCCATGTTAAAAGGTTAACCTCGTTAAGAGGAGTAGTTCAAATCCTTATAAGTTGACTTATGTTTTCATCTTTATTTGATGTAGGATTTTATTACTTAACAGAGACATTTTCTCTGACCATAGTTCCCAGAAATTATTGAAAATTTTGAAGGAAAGAATCATATATATTGGAATCTGTCTCAGTGAGATTTTTATAGTCGTAGATTTTTTGAAGTGCATTACCATGTCTCTTTGCCTCAGGTTACTCGGTTATATAAACAAAAAGTTCATCATATGATGAGTGGAAGAACAAGATGATTCATGAGAGAATAGAGTTTATGTATCTTAAATGCAATTAAAAAAAGGGACAACTTTCTATAAGTTAGGGAGATGAGAGAGCTGTTGGAAAGAAACCCGTAAGTTAGGGACATTGCATACTTGCCTTTTTTCTCCCAATCCACTGCCTCTGTTCATAGGCTGTCTCAAAAAAGTTGACATTCTTTTCCTTCTCTTCTTTTGGGCATCAGTGATGTTGTGGTTTTTGCTCAATTCTATTCAATCATAACTTTAATTGTTTGTTTTGTGTTGAACTGTACAGTGCTGAACATTGTTAGAGATGAATTTGAACTTAAAAATCTTTTTTTTTTTTTTTGTATTGTACAATCCTGTCCACTACTGTGCACTGATCATGCATTAAGGGATAAAATAAGTGGACAAGGACGTCAACTTCCAGTAGCTTTACCACTACAGCTATTGATATTTGTTCAATAAGATTGAAGGACATTGATAATATTTGTGAATGACATGATTAGTATCTAGGTCAATTTACTAGCTTCCGCCAATTTATTGACACGCAGCATAAGCAAGAATCGTAATTTTTTCCCTTTTAGGTGATGTTCATGTCGATATATTCATTTCCATTTGTTTGCAAGCCTTTTCCTATTACACGATTATAGTATTTTTCCTCTAAAATGGAACTGGAAAACTCTCACAGGTATTTTGTCTAAAGCACCGGAGCTATGGTAGACACCAATGTCCCAAAGCTGACAAACATGATGTCACTGTTGTCATCTGCCCTCTCTGTGCCAAAGGAGTTCGCTTAATTTCCGATGAAGATCCGAACATTACTTGGGAATCACATGTAAATATTGAGTGTGATCCATCAAACTATGAGAGAGCCACAAAGAAAAGGAAATGTCCAGTACCCAGATGCAAGGAACTCCTATCATTTTCTAACATGGTCAAGTGTAGGGATTGTACTGTAGATTATTGTCTGAAACATCCGTTTGGTCTGGATCACAATTGGCCTGGGCCTAAGAAACCTAAAGCAACTTTTCAGTTTATGGGCTTTCTAAATAGAAGTAGAAAGGAGGAGCCAAAGCAACCTGCCGTCTCATCTTCATCAAAATGGGCTACAAGCTTCCTTAAAGCAGCTGAAGCTGGAATGGCACTTTGAGCAGTGAATTCAACCAGGTGTTGGGCAGGGACAAAGAAGGGTGTCATGGTGGGAGTGCAAGTGAGCAAGTCGAACAATGTCCACAATGCAATTTAAGATTCTCGACAGTTGGGGCTCTGGTGGATCACGTGGAGAAAGTCCATAATAGGAACGGTGTTATGAAGGCGACAGTCGATGTCTGCCCCAAATGTAGTAAAGGATTTCGTGATCCCGTGACCCTAGTGGAGCATGTTGAAAACGAACATGGTGGCATTTCAAAAGCTTAAGACGGAAGTCATTCTTGAAATTTGAATATGTAAACATGTGATTTTATTCTTTTTCAATAGATTACAATTTTTTAGTCTCGTGTGCCAAGAATTTGTAATTTGAGTTTTGGAAAATCTTCTTGTGAAAACCACTGTGCTTCCTTGAAATTTATTTGGGGATGATATTTAATTCTAGGTATATGTCACGTTGTTCGCCAGTATGTTATTCTGTAATTGCATTGAAGAGTTGAAAAGAGTCTTTATTTAACAGCATAGTTATTGAATTTCATTTATTTTTTTGGTTATGCTATATAATGTATTTGGCTTTGGCCACTGATGTTACTGGCTAATCACTAATGCATTATGACTTGTGCATAAACCTTTGTACATAACGTGCAACCACATCAGGTGGGAGTTGATAGAATAATAGTTAGCAAGGGCAACGGTAGCGAGGGAGGTGATTGGGTCGAGGTGGGGTACGTAAATAGCTATAAAGGGTAAAATTATTTCAATAATTAATAAATTTATTTAATTTAGTTTGGCTCGTGTTTATAAACATTTAAACCATTTTTTTATAAATTCCATTTTAAAATTAGGCTCAAACAATTAAACTAAAAATTATGAAATGACGATTTTGATTATATTTGGAGATTTTAAAATCTTCGATAGAAAAGAAAATATTAAACTCCGCTTAACTACAAAAATGCTAAATGTACACACCTTTGTTCACATTCACTTTCACATTTCTTTCACATAGGGGGTGGGGCCTGCAATTTTTAAAATTGCGGGCCCCACCCCCGAGACCCTTAACTAATATTATAATTATTAATTACAGCGCCTCTGGCATTAATTGATGGTTTCTTAAAGTTGATGAGTAAAAAAATAAAAAATTATGCTACACAATCAAACTCAAAGACAGATTCAAACAATGGAGGACACATGTCGATATATGATTGGACAGTTTAAAAAAAACCCAAATAGGTTCTGCCAAATCAATCAGTCTATTTTTTTTGTATGTATTTGAACTTGTTCAATCATCATTATGCAAAAAAAGTGTGCTTGTTGGGCATGTTTGTAATTTTACAGCGCCTTAGAGACATTGAGGACCACTAAGGTAAAAAAAAAAAATTGTGATGATAACATCAAAAAATAAAGTTTGGAGATAGAAGTAGATAAATGTGTAAAGGTTGAGACAATTGCTGCAAGTCTTTGAGATAGAATAAAATGAATTAAATCAAGGCCAAGAAAAAAAGTAAGCAAAACGATGTCGTTTTTTCGTTAAAAGCCGCCTCTCAAACGCCACGAAATTGTAGTTGCTCAAATCTATCGTCTATCGAGTTTTGTTCGCCCGTCTCTCCCCTCTCCGTCTAAAGAAATCCATAGCGGTAAGAGCTCTCTTTCCAGTATATGGATTTATGTATTTATATGTGCTTTATATATAATGAATTTTTATATGTTTTGTTTATTAGTCTGAATCGCGTACTTAGGGTTTCATTTTCACATTTCTGATATCATGAATTTAGGGTTTTTGTTGTACTTTATTATATGCCTACCATACAATTCTATGGCTGCGATAATCTGATTTTTTTTGTAGCTTATTTGATTTTTTGTTCTCAATTCGTGGTTTTAAACGCCTGATTTTAAGCTTGTACTCTATCGGATCTCTTGAGACTGTATAGAACATTAAAGAAGAGAACTTCTCTTTTTTCAATTTGTTGAAATCATTAATAGAATATTTGGATATAGTGCTTTTTTAGTGCTCTTGCTTATGCCCATGTGAATATTCATCATTCATGTCCAAGTATATGTGGATTTACAATTTAGAAACTTATGTAATGGAGGACAAATTGTAATGTTCACTGCTATCTTTTTGTGGGTAACATTGATGTATTTATGTTTGTATTCATTTTGAAAATATCTGTTTTTGTGTGCTTATACGAGTGGATGATTGAGGAACCAGATCTTGGTCCAATTCCTTTTTTTCTTATTACTTCATGTTTCTTATTATTAGGAGGTCTGTTCATTGTATCTCTACCGATTTCTATATGTTTTAGATCCCTGTGGAGTATTGAGTTCATGATCTGAACTCCCTTTTTGCACTGAAAGATGGAAATACCCTTTTCTTTTGGATTGTTTTCTTTTTTCCTTGAATGATTTGGGAAGATTTGAATCACTCTTGGCTCAACCGATGTTATACAAAAATATGACTTTTTGATTTAACTCACTCAAGACATTTTAAACACTTTGTAGTGTGGCAACCGATCTCAAGTTTCTTAGGAATAAGGCATACTTGTTTGTTGTTATTGATGGTAGTGGTAGAGTGGCAAAGGTCTTAGCATGCTACACTTCCTCCTATATTAGATAACAACTTGTGTCGTAATATTTTTTTTAATTCAATGGGAAATTATAGTCATCAAATAAAACGAAGGAAAAAAAATGAATTGGGTTTTGATTTCTTTTTATATTAGACCGCTTTCATTCCTCCTGAACCATCTCAATTTAACTTAGTTGGAGGAAGTAGGCTTTAGGTCAAACTTAGTCTTGAGGTTAACAATCGAGGATGTAATTTTGTTATGGCATGAAATATTTTTTGCAGTTGCTTGAGTTAAAAATGGCAGCGAAGTACATACTCTCTTCATTGGTGGGAACAGTTGCAATTGCATATGTATTCGACAATTTAATTGCTGACCAGAAGGTTTTTGGAGGCAAGTACTTGCTAGTTTCTTTAAACTCAGTGCTATGTTTTATGGTATAAACTTACTCGGGTTTCATTTCAGGCACTACTCCAAAAACTGTATCTAGTAAAGAATGGTTGGTAGAGACTGACAAGAAGTTTCAGGCATGGCCTCGTACTGCTGGTCCCCCAGTGGTAATGAACCCTATCAGCCGCCAAAATTTCATTGTCAAGTCCAGCCTTGATCAATGAAGTACTGCCTCCTTGTCTTGGTCACTTTTCTGGTGGTTCGGCAAACTAAAAACTTATTTGTTATGGTCATTGAAAGCATGGAAGGAAGTGAAGAGTGAATCTCTTGTTGAATTTCTGTTTTGTTGCTTACGTTGAATATTAATTCGTAATAAGTGTTGTATGCTTGGCATACTTGTTGAATTATATTTTTCATCTTTTGAAAATTTGCTCTCTTTTTGGCCTTTCTTTCTCTTGCTCTGCTCTTTTTTTTTGGGGTGGATGAGATGCAAAAGGGGGGATCTCTGTTTGTCAGGGACTTCATTAATGCGAGAACAAGAAACTCAAACGTCCTATTGATATATAATATAACCCATGTTTGGTTTTGGAAAAAAATTATATTTTTAGTAAATTTTGTTAAAAGTCCATAATGCTCATTAGATTTAGATATTTAAAATAATGGATTGTAAAGAGGTTAAAATTGTAATTTAGTTTAAATTTAGAAAGTGAAATGATATTTATCATGATGATTAATTATCGATGATGCGAGAAATCATTATTCCTCACATTTTTTCTATTTTTCTCATAAAAATTGAACTGACAAATCTCATTATTTCACATAAATTGTTACATCACTTGTGTTTTACCATCATAATGATAAATAATATTATTCATTGCTGAATGGGATCCATGTTCAATTGTACGCGGGAAATTTCAGACTTTTTTATATTTTTATTTCAAAGCAAATTTTAAATCGGAGTTAAAATATAGGATCTTATTTAGCCCTTGTTTGGGCTTCATTAAAATCAAATTTTGGGGAAATGTACTTTGGAATAGTGATTTTTATTTTTATTTTTTTAAAGAATGAGTGGTTAAAAAATAAGAAAAAAATTTGAATTTACGTGTAATATATTTTATTAGAGAATGTGGGATTGACAATAAGAGGAAAAAAAATGCATTTTTGAAATAATGAAAGTCCAAACCAGGGCTTATATATATGGTACAAATTTAATTAAAGCAGAAGTAGACCGTGCATTATGTTTTATTGTTTAATACGAAATTTAATTTCCGAATAAGCATAAAAGAACAGAAAAAAAAATTAAGTCTTTATTTCTCCTTTCATAAACTATTTGAAAATAGATAAAGCGATGCTCAGTATCATCCAGATATTGCATGTTTGGCTAAGCTTTCAAAAATCCTTAAAATTTGGTTTGGTTGTGCCAAAAGGCTGAAACTTAGTAAAACTTACTTTCTCAAATTTAATTTTCAGAGTTACTCTCAACTTACTTTTTATGTTCGGAGTTTCCGTTGTTCGTCATTCTCAATAGTTGAATGGCGCGGTCTTTTCATCAAATTATTCTTTTTTCGATGCTACAAATTGAAGAAATCGTATGGCTTGCACAATAATGAAATGTTGGAGACCAATTTGCTCATGTTCAGCGGTGGAGAACCAATTTACTAATCGAACAATAGAATGGAACCAATATGCAAATTTTCCGAAAGAGAATAGGGACTTGTTGGACTTGGGTGTTCTTTCATGCCTGTGAATGGTTATCAATACGCATAGATTACACCATTTCGAGCATGTATGACTTAGCTTAAATGCCAAAATGAATAGTTTCTTTTTGACTATTTTCGGCAGTATAAAAAGTGATACTACCAAAATAAGCCAGTTTCTTCTGTAGAAGAAATAAGGCCAAACATGCTCTAGAAGTGAAGGAGCTAAAGCAAATAGCAATGACTGAAAATTTTGAATACAATCAAGGCAGCCACCCCCGAAGAAAGAAATATATTACAACGGGAATTTGTTGGAAAAATCTCAGGTTGTTTAGTATTTGAGATGATGATTCCATGTTTATAATTCAAGATTTAACGATCAATTCCTTCAATCTTGTCTTCAACTTCAGAGTATAGCTGTCTCAATCTGTCAATGTTTTCAGCAGAAGTTTCCCAATATCCACGTCCATTCGCCTCCAAAAATGTCTGAACCAACTTCCTGAACGAATTCGGGTTTGTGTTCATTAGCCTGTTTAGCATTGCCTCGTCTTGAATAAAAGTCGTGTTTGCCTCTTCATAAACCCAGTTGTCAACTTGTCCTGAAGTTGCACTCCACCCAACTGTGTTGGTTAGCCGTTTCTCAATCTCACGAACACCCTCGTAGCCACTTGACAGCATGCCTTCATACCATTTTGGGTTCAATAATTTGGTCCTCGCGTCGAGCCTTACAGTCTCAGAAAGTGTACGAACCTAAATCATTAAAATACAAGGTTGTTAGTTGAAAGAGAGAGAACTAGGTGTATGTTTGGTACTACTAGAGCATACTGGACAATATAATGAACAAAATTTTAGCTTACTTTTCTTCTTTAATGCTGTCGAATACGCTAATCGTTGTTACCAAACAATGGCTAAAATATTCTGCTGCTAAACGGATTCTTGATAGTGAATGTAACAGGTCATGACACTTACCTGTGCATTAGCTGTGGTTGTATCAGCAACGTATGCACTCGGTTTCTTCCCATCCTTCCTGAGGCTTTGTACGAGGTTTGTTGGGTCTGAATCAAAGTAGTGACTGACATCTGTAAGAGAAATTTCGGAAGAGTCTAGGTTTTGGAATGTGGCATCAGCTGTGCTAAGAGCCATCTCGAAAATTTTCTGCTTTTCCATCATGCCAGCACCGGGAGCATCACTGTCAAACGCAAATGACTTTCGACTCAAGTACATTTCTTGAAGTTGCTTCTCATCATTCCATGATGAGTTCTCAACGGCGAGATTTATATTGGATGAGTATGAGCCTGAGGCATTTGAAAAGACCCGGGATGCAGCTTCACGCACATCAACGTTGAGTGCTTTTGCTTGCTCTAGTGCGTGTTTCCTGACATAATTTTGGTCGTCGGTTTCATCTAGCTCTGCAACCAACTTCACTGCTCGGTCAAGGAGATTCATCTGTATACAAGGAACAAGTAGACATACATATCAGCCAAGGAACACAAAAGAAAGGAGTAAAGAGGTTCAAAGAGAGTAAATTTGTGCGCAGAAGTTTGTTGAATTACAAAAATACAGCAATTTTTATATGGGTTAACCCCCAATCCCAATCCTGAAGCAATAATAAGCAAGCATGTATCAGTAGAACTGTAAAACGCAAGGGAAACACAGATTTATAGCGGTTCACCCTCGAACATGTGAGGTACACCCATTCATGCCTCTCAGTTTGTGCATCTCTAAACAACATCCCCTCAAGTTCCTTTATATGTCGTAGGAAATTAGGTGACCTAACGCAAAAATATGAACGCCCTATATACTCCTATAAGAAAATTCATGGTTGATGGATTAAGTCGACAGCACAAGTAAGCTCGACAAGTCAAATTTTAAAATGATGCAGAGAAATTTGTCAATACCTGGTTGATGAAGAGGTCTCTGAACACACCAGAGCAATTGACAACAACATCAATCCTTGGCCTTCCTAGCTCTTCAAGACTGACTGGTTCGACCCTGTTTACACGTCCAAACGTGTCTGCGACTGGCCTAACTCCGATCATCCACATGACCTGAGCCAACGATTCTCCATATGTTTTGATGTTGTCTGTTCCCCATAGAACAAGTGCAACAGTCTCGGGATACTTCCCTCCATTATCAGCTTTCTGCCTTTCAAGCAATCTATCAACGACAACCTTTGCACTCTGCAAAGCGGCAGTTGTCGGAATTGATTGTGGGTCCAATGCATGGATATTCTTTCCAGTGGGCAAGACTTTTGGGTTCCTAATTGGATCCCCTCCAGGACCTGGCTCGACGTATTTCCCTTCCAATGCTTGTTTAAGACTTCCCAACTCATTATCAGCCACAACTAGCTTCAAGCATTCCCCTAAGAACTGGAAAAGGACTCTGAGTTTTTCTCTGTCAGCTATGTAAAATTTGGTGTTCGACAAATATTGAATCCAAGGTTCATTTATACCAAATCCAAAGAGAGAAGTCAGCTTGTCGGAAACATCAACAACCTGTCCCTTATTGTTCGTGCTTCGCTCCACAAATGCAGTAATGGCTCCACGCGATGCCTCAGTAATCTGTCGAAGGAGTTCGACATCACGTAAGATGCCCTTGTCGCTTCCCCTATAGACATCTTCGATATCTCTTCCAAGAGTCTCAGCCAATATTGCTGGCAGAGATGAAATCCCCTCTTCTGGACGATTTAGTGCAGCAATATTAACAAGGGTTGCAACTGCCTCCATTGCAGATGGAGGCTCTCCAATGACATGAAGCCCGCATGGCAAGAGGCGGGATTCAATCTCCATAATCTTAGAATATACCTTTCCAACGACGAAATCTCGATCTCTGGCTGAGATTTCCTCACCTTCTTCAGGTAGATCAACATCCTTGTCCAGGTTGCACTGCTTAGCAGTACTGATGATGGAGTTTACAATCTGAGGGCCACGTCCTGAGTCTTTTAGAGATTGGTAGGACGAGATCAACTCACTCAACTGCTTGAGTCCCTTGTAGAGTCCAGCATTTTCTGCTGGAGGAGTTAAGTAACTAATAGTATTTGCATAACTCCGACGTTTGGCAATGGTGGCCTCGGATGGGTTGTTTGCCGCATAATAGTAGACATTTGGGATGTTTCCAATAAGACTATCCGGAAAACAAGCATCACTCATTCCCACCTGCTTCCCGGGCATGAATTCAAGAGAACCATGAGTTCCAAAGTGTAGGACAGCATCAGCTCCAAAAATTTTCTCCACGAAGGAATAATAAGCTGCGAAACCATGGTGTGGGCTCGCTGATTTGGAGAATAGAAGCCGCATTGGATCACCCTCATAACCAAATGTAGGCTGAACCCCAATGAAGACATTTCCATACTGTTTTCCATAAACCAGAAGGTTTTCTCCATCAGAGTTCAAATTACCAGGGGGCTTCCCCCAGTTTTCTTCCAGAGCAGTTGCATAGGGAGTCAGCCTCTGGTACTCTCTCACACTCATTTTGTATGCTACATTAAGATTCGGGCTATTGAATTGAGCCTCTTTATCATGAATTACATCTTCCATTAATGCTTCAGGTGCTTCTGGAAGGCCCTCTACATTGTACCCATCGTTCTTCAAATCTTTGAGGACAGAGTAAATAGAAGCAAAAACATTCAGGTATGCAGCAGTTCCTACATTGCCTTTGTCTGGTGGAAAACTGAATACCGTGATTGCCAGCTTCTTTTCCGTCTGCAAATAAATTATGATATCATTGTTAGCCAATATTTTCAAAGTCTCCTTCAAACTAATAGTTCAAATGTTGTGAAATCAAAATAGTAGAAGCTTGAAATTCAGTTTTTATGTAGAACAAAGAAAATGATAATGACAGTTATAGTTAATTTTAGTATTATTGAAGATTATAGTTATAGAATCATTTTTCTTGAATTACAAAAACAGTCCATCCCAACTGGTTCAACTGGAAAAATCAGGTTTTAAAGCACTGATGCTTATTTCAAATGCCTGTGATGGACAAAAAATGTTTGAATCAAGATTTCTATCCCTTCATATCTTTGGTTCATTAGACAATAGATTTATTTTATCTTCTTTGATTTATCTTTATATACTTCTCTAATTTCCAATCTCTCATAAACTAGTACATAAATCTTGTATTGCATAAAGAAGTAGACTACATACCTTTGTTTTCCTCTTTAATTCAGCCCATTTGATTGCCCGGGTGCAGAGCTGCTCCACCCTTTTGTGAAGAGCATGTGATTTTCCTGTAATAGAGCCCGTGAAAGTATTATAATTTAGACAAAAGAGTGAAAACCAAACAAAAAATCTATAATGTAACAGAAAGTCAGAAATATGCAAATTATGAAATACACCGTGTCAGCAACAATATTACATGGATTACTCAAGAGTTACAGAGTCCTGTTTTATAACAGGAAGATATCAGTGAACTATGAAATGGTTTATGGGTTGCAGCCAATTGTATTGATTGTGGAATATCATTGAGTAATAAGAATCCGTGTTATCAAAGGATTTCCTGCGACTGTTTCCAGTATGGAATGAGTTGATCATCCATTTTGGTATTTAATTTAACAAAAAAAGTGATATTGTTCCTCAAGTAATCAAGAATCTTGATTTTCAGGAAGTACCATATGTTGTTAATAGGAGTAGCACAAGCGCCATATGTTGTGTATTTATTTCATCTTATTTCACCCTAAGCCTTAACTACCGTAACTGTCCAACAAGAAGGGCTTTCATTTTTTCAAATGAACATTTTAAAGGCCTATTGATAATAACAACTGATTGCAGATTTGATAAACGGACAACTAGCAGAATTTAACATATACGTACTGCAATAGCAAGATGAAAAATTTACTTGCCTGTTCTTGGATCCCGGCCAGAGAAAACAATCGGCTCCATTCCTCCATCGAGCTCCGGCAAAGCAACTTGCAAAGCCACCTGAATAGGGTGAAGCCCCAATGTGCTGTTCAACCACTCCTCTGTTGTCTGAAAAACCAAAGGCAGTGCCACCATATAAGGCACATCAAGCTTCATCAAGGCCTCAACAGCCCTTGGATGATCCTGTCTTGCTGGACCCCCAACAAGAGCAAAACCAGTCAGTGACACCACTGAATTCACCATTGGCTTCTTCGTAACCGGGTCGATGAAATACCGCTCAACTGGTCCTGAGAAGTCAAGCCCACCTGCGAAAATGGGTATAACCTTGGCTCCTCTGGCTTCAAGTTCCATGATCACCGCCACATAGTGACTTTCATCACCAGTAACAATATGACTCCTCTGCAGAACCAATCCAATTATAGGTGCATTCTTACTCTTAAGCTTCTCATTTGCATCCCTCCTAGTACCATACCAATTCAAATACTCCTTCACATCGTCATACATGCAGGGAGCCAAAGGGTGCCAAATTCCATTATCCAAGTACAAAACCGGATCAGAGTAGTCGATTTTCGTTCCTTTTAGAGAAGGAACATAAGAACCGGAAATCATTTTCAAGAAATTCACCAAATTATCAGGTGAACCCCCAAGCCAAAACTGCAGACTAAGTATATACCTTCTTGCATCCTGAGCCTTATCACTTGGCAAGTACTTCAAAACTTTAGGCAGTGTCCTTACAAGCTTCAACATACTATCAGCAAACCCTGCAGATGATTTCTTGTTCTTGAATAGCTGGAAGAATGGACTTTTCGACTGCCCGAGTTGTGACATACTAAATGATCCCAATTTGTTAAGTCTCATTACTTCAGGCATTGAAGGGAACACCAAAACTGCATCAAGCCTGTCCCTTTCTTTCTCCACTGCAGCCTTAACCTTTAAGGCCAATTCCTCGACGAAAATCAACGAACCAATGAAGATATTCGCATCCTCGAGATCCTTACAGAATGTTTTGTAAGTATTTTCATCTCTAAGTTCCTCAACTAAGTAGCCAACAACCTCAAATGAAACATATTGCCCATTCTTGTTCAGTGTCTGAACTGCAGCTGTAAGGGCTGATTGGTACTGAGCTTCTAATACTACATAGACAAGTTTTACAGTGGGAAGGCCTTGGGACTTTTCGGGTACAATTCGTCGAACTTCAGGTGTAGTTTGGGTGAATAATCCGTTGCCAATTGCAGCAATTTTGAAATTATGGGGTGTTCTTGAATTGTTCGGGCTGATTTTCTTGGGAAGAAATGAATGAATAAAGTAGTTCTTTTGTGAAATTGATGAAAGGTGGGATGTTTTTGAATTGGGCAGTGTGAACGGTGAAGAAACTAAAGAAGCCATTTCTCAACTCTGTGCTTTCAAGAAACAAAGGCTTATTTTCTTGACTACACGGAACGAAATAATCAGTTGGTGCTTGTATAACTTAAATGTGCACAGAATATGAGAGGGGAGAGAGAGAGAGAGAGAGAGAGAGAGAGAGAGAGTTTAAGTGCTTCTTATTTTCTCTTCTTCTCTTGCAATTGTACCCAGTTTTGTAGTTTCATATTTTTCCAGTGGCGGGTGGAATGAACGAGGAAGATGGTTTCTTCAGGTAGTGGTGAGACAATGGGACACGTGTCAACAAAGGTGAGGTTGAGCTTTGTTTGAGTAAGATTTTAGCGAGAGAAAGTGAGCTTGTACTTCGTCTATCTATTGTGGTTGTTTCCTGCATTCTTATTGGTTGGTTTGGATTACAAAGAATTGGGTATGGACAAGTGAGAGGAGAGAGAGAGAGTCTGGATGATGATATAGATAGATGTAGATACAGATGTTTATGATGTTCACTTCAAACTCTTTTTGCTGGTAAAAGAGATTCTGTTTTTTGAGTTTGTGACGCTCAGTGAAAAGGAACTGATATTTTTTCTGTGTATTCCAATGGGTCCAGGTATCACAGTTTTATGCCACACGATCCTCGCAAGAACAAGAACAAGAACAAAAGAAAATAAAAAAACAAAACAATGTTTGCATTGATACTCCTTAAAACCGGAACAAGTTACTCATTTAAATTATCAAATTGCTTGATATTGAATCTTGAAGTTCCATATTCGAAGAATCTTATTAATATGTAGCGGGCAATTGGGGAAAACTGGTTCAGGAAACAATAAATACATATCAGGAATTAGGTATAATTTGGATTTCAAGATTCATTTACCCTAAAAGTTCAAGGGACAGTCCAAAAAAGAAGAAAAAAATCAATTCTCCAAACAAAAATTAAAGGAAAATGAAAAGGTTCAACAAATCAGCGTTGAAAACCATGCGCAATTACTGTTGTGTTGAGACTTGTAGATGAACACTACTGTATCGGTGTATGCTATTTGTGGCTACATCAACCACCCAGAACCAAGATTAAAGACAATAACACTAAGCATCAGACGACGTGGAAGAGATGAAGAAGCGGAGTCAAACACAATCACATGTAATCGTAAATGAATCTTGCTACATGTACATAAAAATTTACATAAGGGATTACATAATATTGATCCCAAAATATGGTCCAACAGAAAAGTAGAAACTAACGTCCACGCAAGCCGAATCACCACATACTTAGATCAAATCGCCAACTTTATAGGTGAAATTATTGAGGAGAACACTGCAAAGTATCTCACAAGTTGTATTGCAATTATTGGATGCATAAAGAGGGGTCGGCTATGGAATGGATTGAGGAGAACCAAGGTTGGTTTTGAATGTGTAAACTTGCATTAACTTCAAATGGTGCTAAGTGTATGTTTTTATAGTAGAAGATGATGATTAAGAGCCGTACCTCATCCGCACAACTGTGATCTCTTATCATAGTCATCAATCAATCATTCATATGCCATTTCGCCTTTAATGTTCTGATGGGTTGTCAGCCCTAGTCCTGACATCTAAGACTAGATTTGACTAGTTTGATTGAGTAGGACTACATTCTGATGTTACTGTTGATGAGGCTGCATTGAACTTGGGCGAGCCCCTTTTATACAAAAGAAGAGCCCATTCAAAAGAGGCAGCCTTAGATGAGGCTAAATTGATGAGTAACATCAGTCTCCGAAGTCCAGGTATGAATATTTATATAATACATGGAATTTCTAGTCAAAAAGAAGAAAGTGCTGAATTGAACTTGAGCGAGCCCCTTTTATACAAGGGAAGAGCCCATTCGTATAACAAATACGCTACGTGGCAGAATGGAGTTCCAAATAAGTCCTAAGTATGACCAAGTGACAAACTACACATCAAGTGAATCTAGACCCGTCCCACATCATTCTGCCCATACGATAATTTGGCCGAGTCTCTATTCGCCGAAACCAATGGGCCGAGCCTCCATTGGCCGAACCCCAATGGGCCGAACCTCTATTGTCTGAAGCCCCATGAAGAACTGAGCCCCAATGGATGACATGAGATAGGTAGAGGCGTATTAGAGAAGATCTTCATATTAGATCTTGTATCAAGTGGGTGATGTGATAACTCACTGAAAATGTAGTCCTACTCAATCAAACAAGTCAAATCTAGTCTTAGATGTCAAGACTATGGCTGCCACACCATCAGAACATTAAAGGCGAAATGGCATATGAATGATTGATTGATGACTATGACAAGAGGTCACAGTTGTGCGGATGAGGTCATGCGCCCCCTCATCTAATGGCTCTTAATCATCATCTTCTACTATAAAAATATACACTTAGCACTATTTGAAGTTAATGCAAGTTTACACATTCAAAATCAACCTTGGTTCTCCTCAATCCATTCCATAGCCGACCCCTCTTTATGCATCCAAAAATTACAATACAACTTGTGAGATACTTTGGATTATTCTCCTCAATAATTTCACCTATAAAGTTGGCGATTTGATCTAAGTATGTGGTGATTCGGCTTGCGTGGACGTTAGTTTCTACTTTTCTGTTGGACCGTAATTTGGAGTTAACACATAATATCGAACAGTATTTTACCATTTTTCAATTTAAAACACAGTCTATCTCTTCATCCAATATTTTCACTCTACGTCATTTAATGTAATGACTTATATACTATTTTATGTACAAATAACATAATCCATCGTAAATTACTCAATGAATTACATAATGTCACACGACATTTTACTCGATAATCCCTTATATACACAAGGAATTACATAATGTCACACGACACTTTACCACTTGTCAGCTTAAAACACAGTCAATATTTTCATCCAATATTTTCCCAATACATCATTTTATGTAATCTCTTATGTACTATTTTTATGTACAAACAGCATAATGCATCATAAATTACTCGATATGAAATTGATACACGTAATTGTTCATTTTTGCATCGTTAGTAGAGACACAATCTACACATCTCCAAATATTATTTGCTAATACACGGTGATCCTTACACAAACTAAATCAAATCTCTCTCTAATGATCAAGAGTTTACAGATGTCGTAGAAACATCATTACTACTCTTCAAATCGACTCGAGTTAGACCAAAATCTTGTCAATTAAATTGCTTCCCTATCGACATTTTTCTATAGTTCAAATTTCCTTTTTCTTTGAGAAGTTAAAACTTGAAGATGCAGAATAAGAACCCCATGGGGCGAAAATAGTGACAAACTGGTTATAATTTCAACGGCAACTTTCTACTGTTCCATTTCCATATCAGAAATGGCTTCATTCAGAGTCTTCCGAAGTTCTTTCACTCTCTGTCTTGTTAATGCTACACAGTCCTGCAGTCATAGCAAATCGTGTTTGTAAGTCAACGTTAGTTAGCATCATCTATATGTCAGAGAGATTAACAAACTATTTGGTTGTCTTGTTATTCAAGGAATTCTGAGCAATAAGATTATGATAGAAATCGTTTCCAACTATGAGGAAATATTCCAATGGTATAGAATTGTTAGTTCCAGATAATTTTGAATTACACAGAAAAACGAAAGGGAGCAGGGTCTTAAAGATGTTAATGCATGTGTTTCACCACCAGCCCGTAACCAAAGTGTAACGTAACCTTGATGGCTGATGTCTGAGCCAGACCTGGTCCACCTGGTTTACTAGGGGACACGAGTTGAAAAGACGAATCCAACACGATGGTTAAAAATGTTTCCACAATAGACTCTTCCTCGGCTGAAGGGTCTGTCAGATTGTAATTCTTTTGAAGCATGCATGTCAAGGAGAATGGCAGGGTATCCAACTTCAGCTTTCTTCTCTTTATTCACTGGCTCCTTTTCCCACATTGCACCAGAATTTTCCTCAGAAATAAGAACTATATTGTTGTTGACCTTGAAAAATGGCTCGGATACGTGGCCA